CTAGGCAAGGCAAAAATACCTCCGCATAAAATGATGGCTGACCTGTCTTCAACATCAGTTGGGTCACAAACCCAGGATGGTATCAAAGATAGAAATGCCATTCACACTTCCAATTCACATTGATTATGTTATAGCGCCAAAAAATTAATACAGAAAGTTACTCTCAGGTACACTTTTCCAAATAGATGCAGAGTCATAGACGACAGAACTCCTTATACCATTTACACAGAACCCACAAGTACCACCATCGCGCAAGACTGGCGACAAAGGGCAAGGAAAAACTGCCTTCTTATGTGCAGAAACCTAGGATCAGACTCCTTCCACATCAATGGTCAGGAATGGGTTTAAGACGAATGCAGCAACATCTTCCATGACGTCTAATTCACCAAAACGCCGACTGAACTCTGCTGCCACTTTGTCCAGGTGAACACAGTACTGCTCAGGGTGAAAAACGTCCTTGTCACCGATGGCCTGTGACATTTTCTCCAGGTTGGGAAAGTATGTCAGCCTCCCGTTTTTCAGCTGTGTGTTCCAAACACCGAGCTTGGCCTTGAACGCATTCACTGCGCTTATCATGTGTGGCAGGTGTCTGTCTTTTCCCTGGAGCTCGTTGTTCAGTGCGTTCAGTTTTGCCGTCAGGTCTGTCAGAAACCCCAGGTCCAGCAGCCACTGATCATCTGACAGCTCCTCATGCTCCTCGTTCCTTGTCTCCAGAAAAGTCTTTATCTCGGGCAGCAAATCAACAAACCACTGCAGCACTTTGCCGCGACTCAACCACCGGACATCAGCATGGAGAAGTAAGTCTCCATACGCGGCATCGAGCTCATCCAATAACGCCTTGAATAAGCGGTGCTGAAGCGCTTTTGCTCTAATCGAGTTGATCAGTTTGACCACCAGACTCATAACATGAGAAAAGTTCAAGACCTTCCCCGCCAAGGCCTGCTGATGAATGACACAGTGGTAATTCACGAAGTCAGGAAAATCATGGTCATTACGGCACAGCGCAATAAATCCAGCGCGCACACCGCGCATCGCTGGGGCTCCATCAGTGGTAATTGCCACCAGTTTGTGAATGGGGATGTCATTATCGCGGACATATTTTTTAAACGCGTTGTAAATATCCTCACCTCTCGTTTTCTCCTTTAAGTGCAAAAGAGTGAGGAGATCCTCTTTTGTTGTAGAGTCCGGGAACGCCATCCTGACAAATACAACAAGCTGAGCTGTGTCCATTACATCCAGGGATTCATCAAACTGTAGCGAAAAGTATTCACAGTGTGACAAGTCTTTCAACACTTGCCGATCTACGTCCCCTGACATTTCCTCGACCCTCCTCGCCACTGTATTGGGGCCAAGCTGGACACTGCGGAGCGCGGTTTTGATGTCGTCTTTGTTTTTAAAGCCGTTGAAAACTGTCTCTGCAGTGATGGCCATTGACTCCTTGAATAAATCGCCATCCGTAAAAGGTTTCTTGTGTTTAGCCAAAAGGTGA